TAAGAAGACAAGGTTCTTTTGCGGAATCAAATGTTTACTTATCTGTCCAGTTGTGTTTATTCATATTCTGGTACATTCGGGATTGGTATTTACAACAACAGGTAAGTGAAAATAAATTACAGTAATACCCCAAACTTACGCGATAGGTGGGACCGAGCGATAACCGCGTAAGACGAATTCGCGTAAGTCGGGATATAATTTCGCAATTTTTGTAAAATCCAAGTCGGATGTATGTAAGCTAATAAATGTTCTCGTTAATCTTATTTCGTCTTTTGATTCGTTCACGGTTGCAAGAAATAACCACATAGAATCTCTCAAGTTTCCGTAAATATAACAAAGACAGAAATAAATAACACAAAATAAATTGTAGCTATGTGTAGATTCCGCATGACACGTCCGAACATGTAAGCCGAACAATAGTGTGGGGGGAGTGAGTAATCAAGAGTTTCGTGGCGCTCAAACAAAAGACAAATCGACGAGATTTGAAAATCGCGTAACTCCGGGTTCGCGTAATTTGAGGTAATACTGTATTGAATTCATGGATACCTTCGAATAATTCATTTTGTATTAATTATCAAATTTTTTCTTTTATATTAGTATGTATTTATAAAAGAAAAGCACAGAAAATCATCTTACGTAACTAATCAGTATCATATTTCCATCTATTTCTATTCCATCTATTCACGTCATCTATTTCTGTCAACCATTTAAATGTAATATCTTATTCTAGCAAACCGACAGTGCCGATAATACTTTTCATAACCGAAGAGATTTAACGAAAAAATTAAAATAGGGTTCTACTTACTGTATATTTTCAGTAGAAAGTTCATAACGGAAATATTTATGAAGTACTGCAGTTGTAGTTTAATATTAAACATTTTTCTGATTACTTTCGTGCTTATAATTGATAATGACGGCATGTACTATCCACATTATACCATGGCTTTAGTTTGTCTTTTACAAATTACTTTGTTAATATTTTAAAATATTGTTTTCATAAAAAATTTTACATTCAATAATTTTTAATTTTAATTATCCGTGTTGCCCAAATTATCAGTAGCATTTTTTTTAAATAACGGGTGCCTATGAATTACGTAATGCAGACATGAGTAGGTGGCAATGCAGACAACTGATGAGTTCTACGAGTGAGAGGGTATAGGAGTACATCACTTATTTATTAAAATATGATTGACGAAGCATCATTAATATAGTTTTGTGTGATGTAAAACAATAGAACAGTTTCTTAGATAATTTTCGGCTATCTTTTAGAGAATGTTGAATGAATATAATCAAATTTATTAATTTATCTCTTAAATTCAATTATATTTGAGTGATCAATGCATTTAAATTGATTGTCTATAAAAAGTATTTTACAAACCTAATTTATTTGTTATACTTATGTAATGCAATATACTTTCTTCAAAATATTGTAAATGTTGATCTATTTTCATTTGGTACTAGAATTATGTTTTATACATATTATTCGAATTGCCATCCTACATGTGTTAAAAATCAAGTAAATTTACGGTTTTAAATAAAATAAACACTTGTAAACTCTCGAAATAGCGTAATATATTTGAATTGATTATTTATTCTTTATATATATATGTATATTTTTAGAAAAATTATTTAATATTGGAAATATATCTGAAGATGTTACTGTAGAAGTTTCATCTCAAGGAATGTCATTAATCGAAACGTTCTTCTTTTTGAGGTAAGTATAAGATTCTTTTTATAATGTACATTACACAATATAGATATCTCATAATTAATTATTTTAGGTAAATAAATGCAATAGTATATACAGCGAAACCTGCTAATGTGATCACTCAAGGATCCAGCTCAATGTGGTCACCTTACATCGGTAGCCACTTTAGCAGGTTTCACTTTAATTTATAATTTCTGAATACTGATCACAAGGGAGCTTAAGTATCATTTATTTCAGTTTGCAGTTCACAAGAAATGTGTTATTGTGTTACAGGCCTATCTGCAAGATTTTAAATAATGAATTTTTACATACAAATCATACTTTTTTCCAGGGGCGTGTTGTGGCATTTGATGATCGGGAAGCTGTGTTTTTGTAAAAAGCCGACTTCTAGGAGCAATTAGTCAGTGATGGTCTAGGGTCCATTCGTATTCGTTTGTTCTATAAGCCAGTAAAAACCGTAGACTTTTCTAAATGTATTTTTAATTAATAGATTATCTACGCACTTAATAAATAAGCAAGTTCAATATAATTAACTCTGTTATAATAGATTTNCCGGATAAGTTAGTGTGTGAATTTTTAAATGATACTAACATATAAGTATATGCCCATTATAAAAATATTGTGATGAAGTTTGTTTATTTTCTTCTCGATTCTTTGTGCTGCTACATAATGTTAATTCGTCATTATTATCTAGTTAGCATAGTGTACTTATTCGAACTTTAGAGCAACCTTAAAGAAAACTACTCTAAAAATGTACACGATGAAGTATGGAAAAATAAGATTCGGAGTTGTGTATAATATTTTCGAAATTTTTTGTTGACTTTGATCAGTTCGAATATGGGAGGGACTGATGACTGAGAGTCCACTTTATATAATTTATTTACAATATACGATGGTATGTTGTAGTAATACACATCTAAAAACAAATACGTTGGTTTTGCTAATGCTAGCAGTAACAGTTACGATAACTTAAGTAACGGTTAAGAAATGTTATTCATGTTTTGCAAAAAATTGCATATTAGTATCGCACGTCAGTGAATGTATTACGTCATCCACAGGTATGAATAAATTACGCATTGTAAATTAATTTGCCATCAATAACTACTATCCTCATCGGCTTTTCGATTTTTTATTCAATCAACGCAAAATTTCCAGTAATGCATTTCGACCTATTTAAGAGGTTTCTTCAGATTGATAATTTTGCGTTAATTAAATGAAAAAATCGAAAAAAATGTGAGATCTAAAGTACAGTCGATCCCACTATAACACTGTTGATTATTCCGTTTTATATGATTTCCATGTCGTACGAGTCACTTAAGCCTGGACTCCACATTACCTGAAAACAGAAACTCAGAAACAAACTGAAACATATAGAGTTTTCGATTTAGTTATGTTTTCGTTTTAACTCGACACCACTAGAAATGCGCCATCTGTTGATCAGTTCTGTAATTGTCGTAGAGTCAAACATGGACGACGCTACGGATTTTGCCACGATTTCTCTGCAAAAAATGTAAATAATCTTTGAATGATTTACATTTTTTGTCGTACAGACATCTGTATTATCTAACTTGTTCGATGAAGAATTCCAAATCTATTTATTTCCTCGTCGTTTTCGCTACACTTTCTGCCATTACGACAATCAAACTACACGTGACTAATGCACGTGACTACGCGTCACAAATCCTTGCGTTTTTATTGGTTGCAGTACGACAGAAGCGCGGGACGAAAACGGAAAAGTTAAATAATTTTTAACTCTGCTTTCGGTCTTGTTTCTGTCCAACAGAACGTTCCAAAACCGGAAGTTTCGTCAGTTTGGCTTTCAGTTTTACGATTACGTCGCGGATTCCGGTAATGTGGAGTCCAGGCTTTAGATTTTACAAATATGTGAGCCGTTCACAGCCCAGCACATGTAGTTGTAAAATCTAAGTGGCTCGTACAACATGGAATTCATATAAAGCGGAACAATCAACAGTGTTATGGGGGGTCGACTTGTATAAAGGAAAAGTCAATGAGATCCGTAGTTATTTATTAAAAAGTATTTGATAATACAGATCAGAAACTAAAATTCGCGTTTCCGTAAACAAACAAACGAGATAAATCAAACGAAAGACTTTAAAGTCAGCCGCAATCTAGGCAATATCGAAACAAACTGTTCGAAGGCGACATCGAATGAAATTCGTTCGGTCATCGACTCAACGTTAATCTACATCATATAAAATATTTCCTTCGATAGAAAATAGACGATCGGTTCGACACCTCTCGGATCCAATAAGTTGGATTTTTTGGGCGACGCTCATTTGAAAGTGTATGAGAAAGGAACATGCACTGTAAACCATAAAGAACACACGAATTCGTGTTATGATCTTTGTCACATTTGCTACTCTGGGATAAGGAAACAATGAATCTGTAGAGCTATGTCACCGGTGATGTTACAAAGATACATCCTTGCCCTACCGTCGATGGAAAACATTCATGTGACCATAAACATTGTCCCTGACGTCACGTCGAAAGCGATGTCATTGCCTAGTTTAAAGCGAAATTAACGTCTAGAAAGAAATAATGCTTTATTTATGCGATAAACTATAATATTCTTTTGGTAATTTTTTAAAATCTTAGACATTCAATAATACAGATACAACTTAGAAATAGATTCACCTCGATTAAAGTTTTCGTCAATTTAATTTAAATAATAAAGAAAGAATTAAATTTAGCAGAGGAGAACACAGCTGGCTATACTCCGATTTTAACTAGCTTGAACACGGCAAAGCTATATAGAAAATTAAATGAAACGTGTTGAAGGGTTTAGTCCAATGTGCTTTGTAAACATTAATTTTTCATGTTCGAATATTAAAAAAATGTGTAGCGATAATTATATGCCGTGATGGACGATACGTTCGAGCACGACTTGTTAAAATGTCGTTAATTAAATCCGAAAACTATCGTTCCGATTTCAAATCCAGATTTATTTTTTCGTGTGTTATTTCTATAATTTTCATTCAATTAAAACGATAAGTATTTGACCTGTTTAAAAAGAAAACAATTCAGTAATGTGCAATTACACTTGACACATGTTTTATTATTTGCACTACGTATTGTATTAATAACAAATATAGCGGAAATAATAACACTAAGAATTTAATTAGAATTGTTTTAATTTCATTTAAATGAATAAGTTTAACGTTAAATGAATGTTGTAAATGTTTTCTACTACTGTAGTAGGTCTTTAACGTCGGTTTAACATAAGTTTCACAATAGAAAAATTAATGACGTTGTTAATTATTATTCTATACAGTGGTTTTTTAACATTCTATCTACGAAGAAACGATGAACAGAAATCCATACTGTACTACTGCATCTTTCTCATAAAGAGATACATCAGGTTAATTACATCTTCATTTACGTTTATGATATTGAGTGTTTATTTAATTAATTTTTTGATAAATGTTTTTGATATTCAAGCATTTTATTTTACAGATTGAGTTTTCCATTGATCTGCGTATTGGCTATTTTTATAATTTTGCCACTCTGTGGCGAAGGACCACATTGGGACCTCGTAAATGAGGAAGCCGAAAAGGCTATACGATATTGGTGGAGATATATTCTTCATATTCAAAATTTATACAACGTGCCACTAGATGTAACTTGCTGAATATTATTATTATTCAATATTTTAAGTTTTACGAAATACAGTTAAAAATGCATTTTTATTGCAGTTTTTTATCCATTTATGGTTCGTTAATGTGTTGATGCAATTAACTGTAATTACAGTTCCTTTATTATACATTCATGACAGGTAAGACTAATGATTTTGTAGTTGGATTTTTTTATTAAATTATATTTGTTAAATAATTTTATAATTTGAGTTTTGTAATACGCTTCGTGTCTAGTCTTGTATTCAATTTATGAGCTCTATGACGGCTTTTCTTTTTCGCTAGACTCATTGAGAAACAGAACAACTTTAGAAAATCAGATTTTATTTACTGTGTATGCATTTCGGACTTCAAGTCCTTTATCAACTTTTTGTGATGTTCGAGTCCTTTATCACCAACAGTCTATAAGAAACTCGAAGTCCGAAATGATTACTATAGTAAATAAAATGTGATTTTGTAAAGTTGTTCTGTTTCTGAATGATGGTGTAATAAGTGTAGCGGAAAATAAAAGCCGTCATACAGCTCATAAATTGAATTCTATAATATTTAAAGTATTGCATATAATAAAATTCAGAGTAATTAGTTAACTATAAACTATAAAAAAAATTAAGTGCTCGTTAATTAATTATTTTTAGTAGGGTTTTTAAAAGTGGTCAATATTGACTACATTAATCACTTAATTACCAATTGGGATTAATTGGAACAGCATAACGGAACTTACACCGTTGTGCATCACAATCCTCTCGTGAAAAAACGCGACTTTTAATGTAATTTAACCTGTTATATATGAACATAAAATTCAAAATTTTCTACTATTTACATTGTTTTTAATAATGCCACTATTTTGCAGAAAATGTCTCTTTTAAAAATACGTTCTGTTACTGTTGTTTGAAAATGATATAGAATTGGAAAAATGATATTTTTATGATTGACATCTAAGGCTTTACAACAGAATCAAAAAGCAACATACAATATCTCCAATGTCCAACTGTGTACCAAGATGTATTAGTTCAAGTAACGGTTTCACCTCTGAATTTTTCGGAAGCTTTTAAAAAGGAATCTGATTATGAAGACGAATCGGCAAAACTACAATCAAGCTGTAATGAACATCTTGTAATGAACCTGGAGATCTATAGAACTGCCACAGCTCACCAATCTTTTAAAAAGAAAGGTTCAATTACTTGTAACAAGTCTTCAGCTGTGGAAATTTCTGCAGAAAGAAGTGGAATTGTCCTGTTACAGAAACACGGAAATCAGCAAACATAAAACTTTTTCAATGGAGGCCAATCTTTTTTTTACAACGATATACCGCTTTTCTTGGAAGAGCTTCAGCTGCCATAGGATCCTGCGGAATGGAGATTCTTTATTGACTCTTTAAAGTTTAGCCTTAAAGGAATTTTGCTGTACAATGGCTCTATCATCTGCCCATTCAGTCGCTCATGCTGTCCAAATGAACGAAACTTACGACTACTGTATATTAGTACATAGAACTGTGTTATTGGTCTAGTTGTAATGGATACGAAAATTCAGAATATTGTAAGTTTGAAACACGCAAGTAGATCGTTTATATGTAAATGAGTGTTGAATAATACCAGCTTACCAGATTTATTTAACCGTATTCGATAAAAGACGGGATTAATGAAAATTCGAAGAATTGTTGAAGGGGACAACATTTACTTTAGAGTAATAAAAGAACTAAAAATTAATATGGAAACTTTTGTGCGATTTTCAATTTAGATAATGACATGTGTTACGAACGATCCAAAGTCCTCCATCTATATCTACAGAGTCCTGAATCAATCTATATCTGTATACTGAATAGAGTAATTCTTAAAATCTGTAAAATCACTTTTGTTTAAATTAAATGTATTTGTGCTTTCAAGTATAGTATTTACTTTAAAGCATATAGGCCTAGATATATTCATTTTGAAAAATGTGTTTAGTTTAATTATAAGCAATATTCTTTTTGACGTTCTTATCATTTTCTAATTTCATTTCGAAAAAAAGAAAATAAAACAGCACACATTCATTTACCATTAAAGAAAATCTACTTTCGTGACGTTACGAATTCAGTATCTTACGGTGTCAACGAAAGAAAATAAATATTATTGTATTATATGTAATTGTATGAATATGTAGTATTGTTGAAATAATTTACACGTAAGAAACTAATTCCGTGTTGAAACTAGTGGATACAATCACAAGTATGTGAGCAAGCTATACTACAAATTTTTAATAGTTGTAATTACATTATCTTGTTTTCACTAAAGTGTCTGATGTTCCACTACGAAGGCATTTTGAGACTTACTGTCATATTAACATAATATACTTTAACACCGATCTTCTCAGTCCACGAACCAGCGAAATGTCTGAAAATATACAGGCTTAAAGTTTAAAATTTGTATTTTTATATTTAATATAATTTCTGTAAACACTACAATTTTATTTTTTCAGCTTTCACATGAAACTCTACGAAAAACTGAAAGTTGTAAGTGTACACATGTATGCATAAGTGTTTTCTTTGGATTTTGGAATGGTTTATTTCATTTTTGTTTATATACGAGACTGTACGGCATTTCGATATGTGCTGTTTCGATAAATGACATTTACTTACTACATTAACTTATTGCAAATATAAAAATTTATTGTAATTGGTCTGAACATAATTACCTCGAATGTGTTTAGTTTTTTTTTTAGACATTAATTTAATTAAGCTCTTTAATCATTTTAATTTTTTAAATTCAATGACAAGTTGATATATTATATATTTTAAATACATTTTAGGAAATATTGTTATTGTTATTTTATTACATGTTAATTCAATTTGCTTTAATTGCAGATGGCCAACAATTGGAACCGTTTTATTATGCATTTTGACACTGGCAGGAATCATTTTCCATGTTTGGCAATCAGTAATTGCCAAATACATCATGATCGTTGGTTTATCAGTAAATATTCGGTATGTTTTATGTCTAAAATACGTTCGTTACATACAATCATTCCTAAATTAGTTTTTTAAAGAAATGGTAACACAGCACAAAACGCGAGGATAAAGTCTAAATAGAGTTCGAATGTTCGGGTTTTCTTTTCCTACGGTTCGGCAAGGGCGGCGAAACAATCGTAGACCCCGGAGTGTATGGTAAGACTTCAGGCGGTTTTTGTCGGAAGAACCGATGAACCTGGATGACACTAGGTGACACAGCAGAACAAGTTGTTTCCACAATGTCCGAAAAGTTCTTTCCTAATTCCACGGGAGCACGCACATCCAAGATGGCATGACTACGAACCAAGAACTTCCAGTGCTTAAAACGTGCAGTTTTATAAGTTTTTCCTTTGAAGCTGCCTTTCCATTGGTCTTGACTCGTCACCCGTTGACAATTTGAAACCGATCGGAAAGCGCAGGAGAGATCAGTTTCGCGACTAAATACGACTCCATGCTTCCCAGCCATGTTTCCCTCGACTTTAGTCTTTTCTATTGTTTAAATAATTTACCAAAAAAACTTTCTTTGTTTAATCGAGATCTTTAATTTTTCTCTTTCGAGTTGTGAAAGGTGATTGTTAGATTTCTCGATTGATAGTCAACGATAATTAATTCAGAAATATTTTAGTAATCATTTACACAATATTTATTCATTTAATTTTGAATTATATAACTGATACAGAATAACTTTATGAAATTAGTTATATTTTTACATTTATTCGACTATTCCTTGTATTAAACTTTATATAATCTCTGCACAAAAGTAGCTTTATAACTTTAAATATCTTTACAGAAATCTCGAGAATTTATTCCTGCATATTTATCAGAAACCTTACTTTACCCATCTGAGTTCTTACTGCTTGGGCTTATTAATAGGATACGCATTAGTTAAAAAGAAACAATTGAAATTCCGAAAGGTAAGTTATAAATATGGCTTAGCGTATTTACGAAAGCTAAATTAATATATTCTGTGCTATACAAAACATATATTAAATAAGATGAATTATAATTACACAGATGTGTTTTACGTAAGAAAAATTGTTTTGTTACTGTGTATATATGTGATTTTAAACAGAATTATAAACTTTGTAGTATTTCAGAGCAGAGATTTAATTTGATTTCGAGATATTAACGAATGCACATTTGGACCTCCAAAATTTTTTTAGTTTTAAGACTGATTTAATATTAATACAGTACATACCGGTTAATCATAGAGTCGGTTAATTGGTATACGTGGGTCAAATAATGAATGACAGAATGAAAACAGATAATATAAGGCAAATTTGCTTCGCTTACTTGGGGTGAATTTCGGCGAATCACGAAAAATTTTTATACATGGAGAATAAACTTTCATGTTTTAATGAAAATGAGGATTGGGTACATTGCAATTATTGCACACGTACTCTCAAAATAACACTTACAAGCTATAGATAAAAATAATGGTGGAGAGGATATAAAAGATCAAGAGTTAGTGAACAGTAAGAAAATACATTCTGAATTGAGACGATATTTAATGTAAAATGGAAAGGAAGGAATCCCCATTTTTGCGCTAAATACCTTCGCCGATTTTGTGCAGTTGCAACGTATAAATAAATGTGTCAAGACATAGACGATAAATTTCATAAAAAGCAATTTAAATGATTATATATTATGTATTTTTGAACTTGGATTTATTTGCACATATGTACGGTACATATCTGCAAATAAATGTAACTTGAAAAGGAATATGAAAATCGAAGCATTTGTCATTATTGCACATTTTTCGACTTTGATTTCGTTTGGTTCTTTAAATTGGCTTTACTTCTTATTAGAAGCTCGTTATAATCAAGGCCAGAAAGAAATGCTTTTCTTTCTGATATAATAATTAGCTCATGTATATTATAATGTCAATACAATACTAATGATAAAGTAAATAACTTTCACATTTACAAATAAAAATCATTATTTAAATTCTTCCATTCTTTCTATAAGACAGTAGTTGAAATTATGCTTTGTTCTGCCTATCGATGATTATTCAAATAACTATATCTCAGTTTATTATAGTTTGAAGTAGTATATTTAATTTGCATATTTCAACCGGCAACTCGGCAACTGTATTTTTATTTCTAGGTCAAATAATATAGCCTAATGTACTTTATAAATAAGTACGAATAAGAAAACTTGCGATTTAATAATAGATTTTTTGTTTCAAACTTCGTGTAAGATATTTGTAATACGTCTCGAACAATAATTATACGTGTTTATTTTGTAGTTGATTATTAATATTTAATGTACAGAGTAAAATGTAAGAAAACCTATATAAAAAAATAATTTAAGTATATTTTAAAGTGAATTGGAGTTTTGAGTGTTTCTAGGTCAAATACTTTATCATTTCCATTACCATCCGTGCTACATGAGTGAAGTAGCTAGATAATAAACAAAATTAAGATCTTGCATATAATCGATGAATATATTATAACTGCTAATTTCTTAACGTTATTTTTAATATAATGGTGTTACTGTGTTAAGATCTGCGCGAATAATAATTTTTCTAATAATATAACGATGTCTCAAAGGCGGTGCTGCTGCCTGCTTCTGGTGGAACACCCTGACCGACCGACCGAGAAAACGACCATCGAGCTCATGCTCGGATAAAAGAAAAACAAGAAGAACGATTTTATGACGCCGATCCCTATACTATTATCGTAAAATCATAATCAGAACAATTCTTAATTCATTGTTTTTAAAAATGTTAATAACTAAAATGTCTTAGGATTTTTAGGTTTTATCAGAAAAATTAATTAATTTACATCTGATCTGGAGATATTTCATGTTTTAGTTTGGTAATCTTAATTTGACAAACGAGAAATATCTCGCCTTGTTTTTAAATACTCATAAAATATTTCCATAAGTCTAATGAATGCAATTATTTAACTTAATTTTAATTAATTCACTTTCAACATGTGTAACTTAGCTGAGGATAGAAACTCAAATAAGCCATTCACTTGATTTCAGACATATTTCAATACGAAAATGGTCAGTTTTTAAAATTCATTTATTTACATATATATTTGCATTTTAAAATTTGTTTTAAAGGTTCAAATAATACAATATATTTTTTAATACCGGACTGTGCATGTATTAAGTTACAAATCGTTTCAAGCTTTCAAGGAATGTGTGTGCGATGTCTTATACAAATTAGCTGACTAACAGATGTACTGGATGCTTGTAATCTCATCAACAAACTTAATAATTTTTCAAGATTTGAAACAAACTCTCGAGCACCATTTTTTAAATTAAATATATCTGACCAGTAGAATCTGACAGTATAAGTTTTTGACCCCAAGTTAAGCAGGGCTTGTTTGTTTACACCATTTATTGTCGTAGATCAACCTTAACATTTTTAAACATTTTAAACAATGGCTCCTAAACCTCACTCTTATATTTTGCGAATTTTCAGCTTCAAGCAAAAGCAGATATGAAAAAATGTCGGTACTGGAATCAAATCTAACATAGATTTCTTTTACAAGTGTACAATAAAAGCATCAGACCACAGGGCAGTTTTACTATATATTTTTCCTAAATATAAAACTACACTAAACCCTGAGAGGTTGAAATTACCCTAGAAACGGCAGCACTGCTCAATAGCAAACAAACTCCTTAATTATTGATAAACTTTAAGTAACAATAACAATAAGTAGCAAGAGAGAGATTGCTTCATTATTCATTTTTACATGAAATACAAATTTACATTAAATACTAAAATTATTTGTGATATATACTACTGAATTGAGAAAATCAAAATTTGAAATTTGATTTTAAAATTCATATTTACCTCAATTTCAGGTGGTTGTTGTTTCATGTTGGATTACGACAATTTGTTTGATGGGACTTGTCCTGTTCGGTTTGCACAATTACAGAAATGATCCCTATCCGAATGAGTCAATAATTCTTGCTCATCAGATTCTTTCTCCGATCGCATGGATATTTGTAACAGCTTGGATATGTGTAGCATGCTTATCGGGATATGGAGGTACGTGAACAGTGTTGATAATATTGTTTCTTTATATAACTATACTTTGATTAATTAATGTTGTAGGTGTAGCAAACAAATTCCTATCCATGGACTTCTTCGTCGTAATGGATCGACTAACAATCTGGATTTATCTTCTGCACCCTGCATTTATTCTTTATCTTTTCGGAGAATTTAGAAGTCCACATAGGTTTACACAAATAAGCTTGGTAATAAGTTTTTTCTAATATATTTTTTGAAGTTTCGTAAAATATAATTGTGAGATCGGGGTCGGTAAGATCTCCGCTCACTTGTCAAGGATGGAGATATATTACTAGTATTTAAATTAAGGAAGACAACGAGATCGTGGGATCTCGGTCTTTCTTAATTTAAATACCAGCTAGGTGATTAAAATGCCAGCTAGGGTAATTAGAATGCGCCCCCTAACTCGCGGGTGCTTCGAATCGGTAGTGGACGTCCGTGTAGCGACATCTAAACACTTGTAGAGAGGATAAATCGAGTGTTGGAGCCGTCGTATTGATTCGGGAAATGGAGGCTCAGACAAACCACTTATCTGTACTAATGTATTTATTGAGATTATATATTTAACGAGATATAGAGATACAGCATTATTTTGCTACGCTCTATATTACATAGAGCATAACAAAATATCAAGCTATTGGATTACATAACATAAGGACGAGATTAAACTTGCTTTAATCTCGTCCTTATGTTATATTCTTTTTTAGCGGTATTGAATTCATATTAGTCGTAGGCGTGTTGGCTTTTATTAAGTTTAGATATTTAACGAATGTCAACGCTAGTGCACAGGCATCTGGAATCACAAGTAGCTTTTATGTATAATGTGGGTTTTCCTTTTCGATTAATGTACTCATTACTCGTTAAGTCTACGTTGTTTTATTCCTACGCAAGTGCAGTCAATCATATCAATTGCAGCTGGAAAGCGGTACTAATTTGGCCATTGCTTCCATGACAAATTGATCTGTTGTAGATAATTTTCATCTAACGATCAGAAGTATTACGTTCTCCACAACATTGCTCACAGTTCGTCACGCAGTTTTATGCACTATGAGTTCCTATCTCATGGCTGTTTGGCATCCCGAATCATCTTAAACATTTTTTCACCTTTCGTAAAGAAATTAGTGTGCAATCCCGTGATTCTTTAGTCTGTAGTAAAAAGTTATGTGCCACCACAAAAGACTTTCGTCTTCAAACCTAAATAACGCGTTGAAATCAGCGACTTATGGAGAGGAACGAAGTTTATAATATTTAACTATCGTTAGATTAACTACATTAATAAAAACAAATCTGGATGAAAGTAACAACAAACCACGTTTTTTTTTTGCTGGTGAGTCTACGTCTGAATAGATGTACGAATTCTAAAAGATACGGTTATAATTCGAAGTAAATGTTTACTTTTATTTATACGTGATACTTATTACTAAAAGAAACCTTCATTCAAAAGCATTCGCTTCATACTTATAAGGGTATGGTTTTGCATCTATTTTTATGCATATGGCTCATTTTGTCGGATTGTGTCTTGGATTACAGTTTAAATAAATAAGACTATTTATTTATTAATATACTATAAATAATAAAAATATATAAAATAAATATACTATTTAAATAAATAAATAAATAAATAGTACGACGTATTGGCTTACTATAAACAAATTTAAAATATTTTATTATTTTGTAGCATTTGTGTTTTTTAAATGTATCTGTACAATGTTTATATACGAATTTATTATCTTTATTAGTCAAAATATATTTAATACAAATTTGTTTATTTTTTCTAGTGCATGACATTTCTATTAGTGATGGCACTCTCCGTTATTTCATCAGTTTTCTGCTACATTTTTTTTCAAATTCCATTCTCATATCTCGCTTTGAAGCTATTCATGTCAGACAATTCTAAGAGAGAATTTTCCAATGATAAAGAAAATCAAAGAATGCAAACATTTAAAAAATGGAATTTACCAATTTTCCACACAAAAACATTATGGATATCAGGAAGTGAAAGAAAAACGGCAGATCAGTAATTGGCCATTAATATGGGACAACAGTTCATTCCGAAAGCCTTACAAATTGGAAAGAAAATTAATTAAACAAAGACAAATTTTCTTCATTTTTAAAAGAAATAAGAAAAAAATCAACGATAATTTTTTTTATGCTTACATTCAAAAACTTTATGTGGTTTTCAGTATTTTATGCTGGAATAAAAGGGCTATATATCTTCCCCTTTATCTGTGCCTATTAATGTAATATCATATTTTTAATTATTCGAATGTATCAATTTTCGTAAGATTAATTATTTAAACAAATTTACTTATAGTGAATATGTTATAGTATTTTTGGTAAGGGATATAATAGTCTTTATTAATAATTTCAATGATTTATGAAATTTAGTTTAACTTTTACAAAATTTGTGTAAAGAATTGTTATTACTAAATAAATATATTATTAAATACTGTATTTAAACAATTATTTATTGTGACATTGTCACAGTGCCGGGCTGCAAATTTTAATCATGATTTTAATTAATTTAATTTAAAATATATGCTTTCCACCTCATATTATTAGTGACTTGCCATGTACTGTACATCATACTTTTCCTCTAACAATAGAGTCGTGGCGTTCAACTATCTAAAACATTTCAGGGGAAAACATTTGAGTTGAAATAATGTGATATCCGGTTCGTATCGGAACATTATATCGTTAATCGGGGTCTCCTCTCCCCCTGCTTTCTACATTTTTTCTTGATTAATAAATATCCAATTCCCTTCTTAAGATGTAAGGAAAGACAGGCGGACGGACGGGTGTGGGAATTTATGTCTACAGTTTTTTTTTAATTTCTGCCCAATAACGCTTATTTGTTTTTTTAATTTAATTCGTTTGTCGTGCAATAAAGTGTGTTTTCTAAATGCATAATAATAATAAATATTCGATGATATTCTATTTTTTAATATAAACTCAAAAAATTATTTTACAAAAGCTGACTAATTAAAAAATTGTTACGAATTTAGATATTGATACAATATTTAATGTTATTCAAATTATATAACTGAAAGGCGAAAATTTTCTTGCTTCTCATGCTTTTACCTTTATCCAGAGAAATTTAATTTACAAATCACAAAATCTGCAAATGTACGCATAACAAATGCATTTTGTCGAAAACTCTGAAAAAATGCAGCAACGAGTTGCTAACATTGCTAGCAACTATCCATATGACCACTCTCTGATTATAGCCTTTCTAATGTAAAACTGCATCCGGCGCCATCGATTAAAACGTTTTATAATAATTATGAATTATATACAGCGAAAACTGCTTAGGCGACCACCTGCATTCGACGGACACCTGTCAAAACGGGCAAACATTTCTGGCACCGAATAGTTTATCCATAGACTCTTCATATAAGTTACCTGTATTAAACGACCACCTGTGTAACGCGACCGCGGGCATCGATTTTTGGTCCGAAACAACATACAACAACTGTAATAAGCGACCACCTCCGTTAATATATTTTGTCTAAACTATTGTTCAACAACGTTTCCTTCCCTCCTAATATAATGAATTAGTCTAAACTGTCGTTCGAACCCACCTGGGACACTTATCCCACCCTTGAAATTATTGCAGGTTTTAATAAATTAGTCTAGTAACAAAGGAAATTCATTTCAGCTTGTTCGAAATTGTCCAAAAACGAAAGAAATGAAAAGTGCTGTCATTAAAAGATCGTCTTAAAGTTATCACAGCAGCAATCAGCAGCGAAGTTTAACTGTGGAAAAACGAAATTTATTTTACCGTAGACCTATTTTCCTTGGGGGTGTAAAATATTGTACACGATACAATTAATCGACTGATCTCATCGTTTGATAAAATTTATTTTTATTTATTTATATATTTATTTTGAAACTCATATATAGTACATGTGCGATAAATAGTTTCTGTATCAATCTACTTTATTTCCACGATATTTTAAGAAAAATAATATCCAAGTAATTTTCGCACGCAAAATATTCAAAAAACAATAAACTCATTAATGCAAAAATCAGTTTTACAGGCAACCTTTCTTTTTCGATTCCGCAGAGACAATAGCGGATTGTAATGAAATCGCATAATGAGAAAAAATAATAAAGTCGTTTTATTAATAATTAATAATTTGTCTCATTGTACTTAAGAAAATATTAAGTATTAAAAATACAGTGTTTTTAAAGTTAAAATAAGATTACACTAACGAATACCAAAACCAAAGTGATGTAGAGATACAATGCTCTTGTATATCGATGACGTAATACACGTAAATGAGGAGCGAACGAAAACAACCCAGTCGAATTAATTAAGTTGGAAAAAAGAAAGTATGCATTACAATCGAGAAAATGCGACTATTGTATTAATCTTTAAAACATTAGTATTAAATCTGTCTTATAAATTTACGACGACTCCTGTAAATCGAGTTATCAGATAAGAATAAAATAAAATACCAATATAGCCCTATCCGTAAATACGGTATTACAGCACTACCTGTATTGGACGACCACCTGTCTAAAAGACAACTTTTTGAAGGAACCGTGGGTGGTCGCTATAGACAGGTTTTACTGTAGTTAATAATTATTATAAAATGCGAAAAAGCTTAATTCAGAGGGTAAGGAGGAGTTTCATAAAAAAATTCTAAATGCTAATAAAAAGTTATTAATAAAGTAACGTGATTTATTTAAAAATCTTGTGTTCCTTTTTTATAGTCTGCGGTGTCGCTGCATCTGCAGTACAATAAAACTTTTTATTAGAGTTGTGAGAATCGGGATTTGTTTAATTAATTTAGCAGAGAAATGCATTAAATTTTTGTAAGTTGTTTATATGAAGGAAAGTTTTATGCATCATTTTTGGAGAAAAAGAAAATCAATTTACTTTCCCACACGGTCTTATCATCAAATTCGGATGGCCATATGTCTGTTTACCCTCTTTTCACCCGTCGCACATCCCGTGTGTGTTTTGGATGGTATTGGTCAGAGAAGGGACTAAAAAGAGAGATTTTCCCGCCATTCGGGCAGTCTTCCATATTTCGTAGGTGCCATAGAAGACAGTTCTCGAAGACCCTGAGATGCCATAGGAGGCAGTTCACCATAATTGATGTCGCGTCAGGCCGATTCTTGCCCCGTGTGATGATTAATTAATTTTCGTAAGTCTCACCTGACCGTCTTGTTCGTACTCCAGATTCCCGTCGTACCTCCAACCAAGAAAAAGTTCACCAAGTTTGTCTTTTGATTTTATTTACACAAAACACCAACAAATTAACTATGTACAACAATTCGAGAGGAAAGAGCACTCCTCTATATTCTCGCGCCTTATAGTAACTCAACACCACCGTCTTGGTGTTGCCAACTCTATCCAATAACATTAAACATTAAATATAATAAACTATTAAAACTGCCCGCCATCTAGCGGGATGGACGGGTCAATTGATATTGCCATATAGACGCAGGCAGTTCTCGAAAAGTCTGAGATGCCATAGGAGGCAATCAGCTGCCATAGAGAAAATGTCGGTACATTTTAACTTTGTGCCATAAAGAAAATCCCGCATTCATTCTCCTCCCGAGTTTCTATCGCTATATCAACGCTTCGACGCCTATACGAAGTCAAGATTAAGCCTCACAGTTAAGGTAGTACAATTTCCAATATTTGTAAACACTCTCGCTCTCTCGAGTATAAACGCGAGACGTAGGAATATAGATAAATTAGAGTTAAGTTCGTTAAGGTTGATTATGTTATTTTGTTACTTTCTGTTACATTTGGAATTGTGTACATAGTCTATTTCTTTTATTAAGCATCGTAGTTATACAACTCTTACACAAAAAATTAGAATATTCACCTAACTGAAAGTTTAGTGTACATTTTCTCATGAACAGCACAGAGTACAAATTACATAGTATTATTTTTTTATCATTTAATTTCCATTTGTACCAAAAAAATGTTTAACTTAATTTGTCTGATTAATTAATAAGTATAATAAATATACATAGACATTGTTTATGTAGGGTCAAGAAAGTTTCATGCTCTGTGCTGTTCAAGAGAAAATGTACACTAAACTTTTTTGTGTAGGAGTTGTATAATTTTATCGCTTTTATAGCCCCATTATATCGAAACCAATTGAGTTATTATACTTTTTAATTAACTAAGATATACATTTCAGTTTCCGGAATTAAATTTAATAGTAGCCTACATAATGAACAGAATTTCTTCTAAGAAAGCAACTTTTATAAGTCGAAATACTAAAAAATACACCTAAATAAAATTCATTTTACATGTATGGTTGAAGATTACTCTTGTTATTGAAATTTTTATTTATCTTAGAATATCTACAGAATAAAACAAATATCCTTATATTCTAGTCTTTATATTCTTATACCGATAAATTTACCTTAAATTATAATTACGCCCTTGTATTGCAAAGAGTTTTTAAAAAATACAGTTATCGTTCTATTTAAAGTGGAATATAATATATATTTTTGCGATTTTTGTGACAAACAGTATTTTTATATGAAATTCTTTTGTGCATAATGTTTACACATGATTTAGATCTACAACACCAGTGTTTGCCGCTATGAGAACCCTGAATAGCATGTTTTAGTAAATCTTTTCGGTAACGTTTTTACCGAAGCTTATGTCACATGTGAAAACTCTAAAATACTTTGAACTTCAAAGTCAAAACTTTACATTTGAGTTCTTAACTACTACTTCTAATAATAAAAATTGAGAAGCTATTGCTATTCGGATAATCCAAACTAAATAGTATGCCTGCTTTCGACATCGTAAAAATGCATATTTACAAATTAAAAATATAATTCGCCAACCTGTCACGTTGAAGGATTGGAATTGACTCCAAGTAGGATCATGAGAAATTTTTGTACCTGGATAGTGTACGGGATTTTTCGCATCCCATCTCTCCCTATCTTGTTCTTTCAATTTTGCACGAAGCCGAATTTACGACGGATATAATAAAAGGCCTCATTTACTGACAATCGAATGGCCGAGTATGAATGTAAATTTACTCTACATATCAAGACTGAAATTTAGGCAAGCAAACAGAATATTTTTCATGGATGGTCTGATTCAGATACTTGGATCCAAATGCTTCACCATTTCTCCTTCTTATTGTAAGTTTTAATAGAAATAAAATTGCTCTTTTAGTGCTCACGACAAAGAAGGAAAACATAGAAAATGAAATTAAAATAGAATTGTACCAAAACAGATAAAAGTACAGGGATTTGCAGCGAAACATACATTCGACAAAATTTAAGGAATTTGGTGTAAAAATTCTATGAAACATAGCAATAAAATTTATACATAAAAAACAAACTTTTCCACCAAAAAAATCTAACGCTGAATACGAGGGGTTTAATAATATGAAAAAAAATAATAATAACTGATTTAAAATAAAGCAATGCTAACAATTTTAGCAATAGAAATATTCACCGTAATTACACAGACTGTTAATAATTAAAAGTTAACATATTATTAACATGTAAATTAAACCCTGTCATTTCACTGGCATCTTTTTTTACCTTCCGAAATTCGCTTTATTTTTAACAAGCAGGAAAAAACAGAATACAAGGTACTGGTCATCTGAAAAAATGCAGAAATATCGTTATGAATATAAATGTCAATCAGTAAATTACAATCATCTTTGTTGATTCTTTTACATTTTTGTTTCATTTATCAGAATGTTTATAAATGAGAATAATAATAATTTTTTATGTCAGGTTATTCAGCAGTGAAACAATTACCTTTAAAGGAATTCTCCTGTCGACTGGATACACGTCACACAGCGACAATCTCATTGGAAATTTACCAAACCTTTTCATAAAATCCAGAATCTAACAGAAAAAACAAACATCGCTGTCCTTCCAGTAAACATTTCGAACAACATTTCAAAATAAACACTTACTTTTAATTTACTCTCCAATTCTACATCACATTGAGCAAAGACCCGAATTTCTTGAAAGGCATTTTGCATCTAGAAACAAAAACAAATATTATGCTTGACACAATAAGAAAGCAATAACAGAACTATTCTATGTAATTTTATTTACCGTAAATGCAAAACAGCACAAGAAGCAGCCGAGTATGATGCAAGCGAATGTGGAGATGACAACAGAAGCTAAAGTTGCGTGTCTGAGAATATTGGTCATTTCTACGAACAGAAATAAGTAATAAAAGAAACAAGTTGTGTATATTGCTTCAAAATATACAATCGCTAATACAATATTGAATTTTCCATTAAATTGTTCGACGAAAAACCACAGCTCTTCGTGATTCTTCATGAACTGATCCAATTTCAGTTTTATGTCGACGTTATTTTTCTTAATTAAAGAAAGTTCTTGAACGAGATTTTCAAACTCTATTTCAGCGATAAATAATAAAATTACCACCATAAGTAATCCATACAACATTCCTCCGATGAGAAAGTCAAAAGTTAATCCGATTTGGATGCAACAGAAAACAGCTTCTCCTTCATATTTTTGTGATTGTTCTAAAGATGGATAAAACAAGATCCCGTTCAAAATTTGAAACCAAATTGAAGCGATCAAACTAAGCAAAGACACAAAGTTACAGATATTGTGCACTGAAATATTTTCTTTATCATCAATCATTCGTAGAAAAATTTTACTTTTTAAACTTTCTATTAAAACAACTTTTTCGTATTTCAAAAAACTGAATAAAAAAGCGTATAAACCGAAGATAATCGGTATAGAAATTTTCACTACTCTACTTTTATCTTTAATTAAATCATACCATCCTATACAAATTGCATTATCACCCAAACCTGGAATTGCTTGCCAAAACAGCAGAGAGGTACTTCCCCATAAAATTATTTGTATAATTCCACAATGTATAGTTTTGTATAGCATCCATTCCGAAATAGGATTGTTAGTTTTTCGGAAGTTACATGTTTTGAACGGTTGCAGTCCATAAATCAAAGCCATTCTTCTATATGGCAGTAAGAAGCAACTTGTACAAATTTCACTCATGTTTAATATTATGTTTTATCAATTATATACTAATAAATTTAATTATTCATCCTGCAAAAGAAGATACAACAGTACTTAAGCGGCATGCACAATTATAGTTTCACACAACAGTATGAATTCTTTTGATTCCAATATTTGCTATTCTACTCGTATTACATTGTGTGTTTACTTAGCAATAACATTTGTAAACTATTCTTGATATTTGTTATATGGCATTTAAACAGTGAAACAATCTACAGAACAAATTTCTTTAGTAAACATAATTATGGTCATCAGAAATATTCAATATTATAAAATATTCTGAAAAGAATTTTTCTTAAAATTAGCATTTATCGATATTGCTTATTATTCTTTGGATATTGTGTTATTTAATCACGAAAGTTTTATATATTTGTATCAGATGTAATGAAATGTATTAATAATTTTATCTAATTGTAAGAAATGTCTCTTACAAAATGAATATCTAATTATTTTGCGTTGTAGTTATAAATATTTTGATCATTTAACTATAAAAATTGTTAATATTTTCACGTTTTAGTTTAATGGATTATAATATGTTGCGATGCTAAAAAACAATGCAATCGTACTTTGTTTTCGAAATAATTCTTATTAGTAACTAATATTTATCACGGTATTCTGAAAAAATTGTGATATTCATTTTACTAATTAGATATTATGATAAGCAGTATAGTAAATTATAAGAAATGTTATAATAACATATGCCTTTTTGTTCTTCGTTTACGAAAAATCTCGGAACGTGGTTTTCTATCGGGCTGGCTAAGTGATGTTTTTGGGTTTTCTTCGGGTGTTCACTACATAGAAGCAGTTTTTAATAAAATCTTCTCTTGATGTTTGCTTTTTTGTTTTGTTAGATTTTTTATATATTTATTCATTTATTCATTGATATTTTGAGTTGCCTGTCTCACAAATCATCTTTAGTCAGATCACTTACGATAAATTATTGAGAAATGAGCTTTCACTTTTATAAAGTTACTTTGTTTATAAGATATGAAGTGGAAGATATGGAAAATAAGGAGTGTGACTGAAAAGCAAAATGTCTATATTACAAGAAATAAAAACGGTACTACAAATATATTTCTTAATTACAAGAAATAAAAGATAAAAGATAGCATATATATACATATTAAATCTGAAAGTATAAATCTTCTAATATTTTCTTCTCGCAAATTGATGAAATGTCCAATTTATAAATTGAAAATGACTGAAATTCATATTCACACTCAAATTGTCTAGCTACATGATGTCTATTTACAAATAATGTGACCATCAATAGCTAAAGTAACCATTTAACATGATTGAAAACAATGTTTCTCGAAGATTGAATTTACTTTTTCGAGACCCTTGCAGTTTGATGTATGTACAGTTTCTCTGTTCTTAATACCTAACCGTACCTATACAAGATATCTCAACGTTTAATATTAAATAATAAAACATTATACTTCATTTACAAAAATTCCCACGAAATAATTACGTTTTAGAATTTTTTCATTCAGTTTTAGAAGAAATTTTAAATCATCATTAGCACCAACATCATTTTCAATGAATATCTTTGTACTAGTTATGAATACATTCTGAGAAGAGTTGAAAAAGAAGCTTAAATTTTCAAATTCCATATTAATTGTTTTATCAGTCAAAATTTAAATTATCGTATTATTAAGACAAATCTAATTTCAGAGTAATGAAATTGCGTGCAGTTAGAACAGAACTTTATGTCCTGTAGCAATTGTTTACATCAAGAAATATCTTGTGATTTTAAATAAATACATTTATGTATGGTATATGCAACGTCATAACATTTTTCCTCGTAGAGAAAATGGCATTTAATTTCAATAATTTTATGTACTTTGTGTTTGTATAACTTGGACTACAATCATAAATATGATCGAAAGCAAACATTCTGTTATGTATTAACTTTGTGAATGTCACCATAGAAACCATTTCGATATGTAAAACTATCGGATAATTTAATATTACAATATAAATTATCCTTTCATAAATTAAACTGCATTAAATTACGATAGGATTCTTTTAAAATGATTTTGCACCATCTTCCATGGTAGGCTGCTGTGTAAGCCATCTACGTGGACACAATGACTCTTCTGACCAGCGTTATCTGACCTGGTATGATAGTTTCTGACCTGGGGGAAGAACAATGCCTTTCGTGTCCTGGTCAAAAGTGCTTTTCTCTATTGCAGTAGTGTTGTGGATAGGCAAAAAGAAATTACAGTATAGCGTCGTTTATCCGAAAGTCGGTTATCCGAAAGTCGGTTATCCGAAAGCATTCCAGTCCACCCCCCTATAACATGGTAGATACGTTCCGTTTTTATGAATCCATTTTTTACGAGTCCAGCCAATCACAGCCCAGCGCGTATGCAGTTTACGGACTACGGCTGTTTGAAAGGTTTCTTCCATAAAATTCATCGATTCTAGACTAATTCGACTCAACATTTCCAAAATACGTATAATTTTTTGGGAATAATCCGTATAAACTATGCTATAAACAAAAATTTGTAGGATTACTTACCGAGCGTGCACTGTTCAACTACGTCATTGCTTAATTAAGCTTGTTTTCGTCGTGGAGCTTGTCATCGAATGACGGTCGCGTGCTTCCTGATAAATTATTTTTTGCGAAAAATTCGCTGAACTTTGGAGACATCATTAATATAAATATAATTTTTATGGCCATTAAATAATAAATGGTTTTTAGTAGGTCTAGTACTCGTTTAAACTCAACGGTTTGTACTGTACAATATCCGCTATTGGTCTAAATTCGACCAATCCTGTCGCGACACGAGTCGGAGATGACGTTTCACCGGATTATAGGAGTTTTTTTTAGCATGTTTGTACGAATACTGTTGCACTTTTTCGCCGTGATATAGGAATCCGAACTATAAGAACCTGTGTTATAGGCGGGTCGACTGNATTTGTGATGAATAAAAAAAATAATTATTTTTATTAATAAATTAATTGAATTAAAAATGATAATAAATAATAGAAAACATATTGCGGTCCTAATAACCAAATATCTATAAAAGTAAATAACTTGAAAATACGAAAACAGTTCATACACTGTAATGTAATTATTGCAACATAGAGACCCAATGTGTCGTATACGACACGTTTAAAAGTTAGCTCATCTCATGAAATATTGTTATTAATATAGTTTTTAAAAAATACTCTTATATAATCTTAGAAGTCTGCTCAACAAAAACATGTGTAAATTGTAAAATTATAATCAATAGAAATAGAGAAAACTGAATACTGACATCAAGCAGTCATACTTATGATCACTTCCAAAAACATGTGCTCAGACACTCACTTATATTTTCCTTTGTTTCTGTCACAGTGGGATGCATGTGGTCTAACAAGCTTCACTAAACTCTAATGACAAAATGTATAACTAATATAATTGTTTAGCAAGCAAAAAAGCAGAGCTGCATCTCATTCTTTGGAAGGAAAATTGCGTGTCATATACGACACACGGCATCCCAAGAGGATACAGATATGTCCAGCATAGCCAGTGATGGAGTTGCACCAGAAATGGCAATTAAAACAGGGTCAGTTGTTTTCTGACCATCTAATGTCCGATCAGAAGATTCACCAAAACGCTGCTGATCCATCGCCTGTTGTCATCACAGGCTTCGTGTACGAATCCCTTCAGTGTCTTCTTTCGGCATAACTGGCATGATTCAGATCCCACTCCTAACACCAATTTGTTACGAGCTGTGGGGCTCGGGATATAGATTTAGAATTTGCAATTTTTCGCCGTGATATAGGAATCCGAACTATAAGAACCTGTGTTATAGGCGGGTCGACTGCATTAAGTAATGACAAAGACAGCCTAGATAAAGAAAAATGAGTGAGAGTATACAAGATTCTGTATGAAAATCTTGAACTAGGCATTAATAAAAATTACATTAGTGTCACTAATACAAACTTAGCAGTCAGATTAAAAGAACATAAATA